CCTTTACAGAGAGGAAAGAAACAGAGGAGCTGGGTGTTGCGTCGTGGCAAAGGAGACTCGTCCGTTCGTAGCCGGATGTCCCGGCGCTGTTAGTGCATGCCTTATCCCTTGTTCTGCCAGGAACCCTTCAAATGTTATTGCCATGAATTGTGGTCCGTTTTCGGATACAACTAAATCCGGCAATCCATGTGTCGTAAAAAGTTTCCTTAGTTGTTTAATAACAGCTTCTGTTGTGGCTGAGTGCATGATGCTTACCTCTAGCCAATTTGAGTAAGCATCTACAACTATTAAGAATGTGTGTCGTTTAGTTGGTCCTGCAAAATCAATGTGTATTCTAGACCATGGTCCCCTAGGTGTTTCCCATTCGTGTATAGGTGCAGAAGGGGGTGTAGGTCTAGATTCTTGGCATCGTTTGCACGTTGCTACCCAGTCTCCTATGTCTTTATCCATCCCTGGCCACCCTACATAACTCCTAGCCAGGGATTTCATTCTGACAATACCCAGGTGACCCTCATGTAATAATTCAAGTATTCGTTTCCTTAATATATTCGGTATGACCACCCTATTCCCCCATAGTATATAACCCTTTAAGATTGATAGTTCCGTTTGTCTATTTCGAAACAGTTTAGCAGTCTCGTAGCTAGCAGTCTCTGGCCACCCTTTACCTACCCAATTTAAAATCCGCGCCAGGTTTCTGTCTCTCGCGGTTTCCATCGCAATGTCTGTTGCTGTTAAGGGTAGGTTTGCCAACTTCTTGATTTGAAGGGTTGATGTGGTTGGTGCAGGATCATCTTCTAAGTTGGGTATGGGGGAACGGCTCAGGGCGTCAGCGTGTGTTATGTTCTTTCCTGGTCGGTAGATCAAGTTGTAGTTATAGGCAGCTAGGAATTCGGACCACCTTGTCATTTGCGGTGACAGTATGTTAGGTGTAGCTTTGTTTCCTGTGAGGATTCCTAGGAGAGGTTTATGGTCTGTGACAAGTGAAAAAGGTCTGCCATAGATATACTCGTGGAAATGTTTTATTCTTGTTATTGCGGCCAATGCCTCTCTGTCAAGTTGGCTTTAATTCCGCTCCGGTTTAGATAGAGTTTTTGAATAGAATGCGATAGGTGCTTCTCTTCCATCGGGTAATACGTGGCTGAGTATGGCACCTATGCCGAATGGTGATGCATTGCATGTTAATGTTAGTGGAAGGGTCTCGCTGTATTGTATTAGCACACAGTCTGATGTAAGTAAGTTTTTTATTTCCTGGAATGCTGTTTCTTCTCATCGCCCCCAAGTCCAGGTAGCTTTCTTATCAAGCAACCTGTGCAGTGGTTCTGCTATCGTTGCTTTCTGTGGCAAGAATACATTGTAAAAATTAATAAGTCCCAAGAAGGCTTGCAAGTCTGTTTTATTTTTGGGTCTGGGAGCTTCCTTTATTGCTCTGATTTTTTTTTCAGTGGGATGGATCCCTTCTTTGTCTATAAGGTATCCCAGGAACTCGACTTTGTCGGTGGCTAATTGGCACTTCTCTTTTTTTACTTTACGTCCCGTCTCTTTAAACTTTTTAAAGACCTCCCTTAGGTGGTCTTTCAGTTGTTTTTTGTCCTTGGCTGATACTAATACATCGTCAAAGTATGGTACCACCCTCTTTATTCCTTGCAATAGGCGTTCCATTAAACTCTGGAATACCCCTGGGGCCACGCTAATCCCGAATTGCAGTCTGTTGCATTCGAATGCCCCCCTGTGTGTCACAATTGTTTGTGCTTCCGCTGTTTCTGGGTCAACTGGTAATTGTTGGTAGGCTTGCGCAAGGTCCAATTTTGCGAAGATTTTACCTCCCCTATAGAATGTAATAGGTGCTATACCACCGGAACTGGGTATGCGCTTTGCTGTAGTGCGTGGTTAAGGGTTGCTTTGTAGTCCCCGCAGATATGTACTGACCCATCTGGTTTAATAGGGGTAACAATTGGGGTTTCCCACCTTGCGTGGTCTATTGGTTCTAAGACCCCCTGTGCGATAAGTTTATCTAATTGTTCATCAATTTTTGGTTTTAACGCGAAAGGGACTCGCCTCACCTTTAGTCTTATAGGGGCTATATTTGGATTTAAATTAAATGAGATAGGGGACCCCCGGTACTTGCCCAGTTCTCTGTTGAAGACGTCCTGGAATTCTTTCATCAGGTCCTCTTCCCAGTCTGTCTCAGTAATGCTGTTTATTCCTGTTATTTTGATTCCTAATGGTGCAAACCATTCGAGTCCCAATAGGCTGGGTCAATTCCGGTCGACTATTGTTAATGGGAGGACTATAGTGTGTTTTTTGAATTTAACTTTGAAGTGTCTGGTACCTACTACAGGAATTCTGTTCCCCTGATAGTCCTTTAGTGTGAGCTTTTGTATTTCAAGTTCTCTCTTGTTTATATCAGGTATTAGTCCTTTTAGGGTATTCCACGATACCATTGATAAATACGAGCCTGAGTCCACCTCCATCTTGCATGGCTGGCCTTCTATGGTGACTTGTACATGTACCTTTTTTGCATTGGTTGAGTTTGAGTGCCCAATGGTTATTGTTTGATGTGTTTCCTCTTTTCTGTCTGCTTCTTTTCCTTGCTTGTTTCTGTTCTCTTGACTCCAACGGCTCCCTATTTGCCTCTCTCTGGGTGGGGGGGGGGGCGGTGGTGTTCCATCTTTGTCTAGGGCCATAGTTATTTCTTCTTCAGCATGCCCTAGCTATGTGTCCCCGCCGTTCACAATATCTGCAAATAGCATCGAAGAAACGGCATTCGGAATGTGGATGGTTTCCTCCACACCCGGCACAACAAAATTCTGACCTTCTTTCATTTCGCTCCCTTCTACCTTTTTCCTTCTTCTTCCTCTTCCTCTTCTGATAGGAATTCGATGTCCTCGTGGTGTGTTGTGGTGGTAAGTTTTTGAGTTTCCTCTGGTGTCTTATTGTGCGTTTGATCAGTGGCTTTTTTGGTTTCCTTTGGTATTTTATTCATTTGTCGCATTGTGGCTGTCGATTTCTGTGTGGCTTCAGCTGCGATGGCTTCTTCTATTGCCTCTTTCAGTGTTATCTTAGGTCTTGTTAGTAATCGACCCTGTAGTGTACGGTCCTTTAATCCGAGGACCACGCGGTCCCTCATGGCTTCATCTATGTTTAGAAATTCGCATGCTCCACCAATGTCTCTTAGTGCTGCAACAAAATCTCCAATACTCTCGTCTTCCTTTTGATCACGCAGATAAAACTCATGTCTTTTGATGAGGCATGAAATGGTTGGTGTGTAGTGGGCTTGCAGTAATTTCTCTAGGTCCGTCCATGCCATCGTCTTTACATCAGTGGGTGCCGCTAATGCCTTTGCCATTTTGAATACCGCAGGACCACAATGGGTGAGGAAAACGGCTCTCTTTCTATTCTCGGATATTTCGTGGAGGTCGTTCCCTTCTAGGAACATGAGGAATCGGTCGACGTACGATTCCCAGTCCTTGGTTGTCAGGTTGAATGGTGCGGGTGGTGAGTTGTTCCTGGCCATTTCATCCCGCTCGGTCCTCGTTGCCACGTGCTCAACTGGGCTCCTTTGTCTCAGTGTCCCACCTTTGTTGCCAGTGTTGCATCGCGGCAAAGGAGATTCAAGCCCCAGTTGACCTTTCGATTACTTTATTTCCTTCTAGAATCTGAACACGGAGAAACCGCGGCAGCCTTTTTTATAGCCGGCTACTCGCGGCTTGTGGCCAATGACGGCTCTTCAAATCTCCCGCCGCTACAGACCAACCCATCATAGGTAAGTATGTTAGGGCAAGGATGAACCCTCCCTAGCAGTTCACAGAGTCTATCTATAATTAGCAGATAGTTGCTTTAGTCTGGCAAGATTCTGTCTGTAGGCGAATAACAATAATGAAACTACTCAGAAGTAACTCCATGCGTTCTTGGTTCTTTGGGCCTGATCCTCCTTTTGCTCAATACCACTAAATGACAGGGTTTGCTCTTTATTGATTGCTCTCTCCCACTTTGCCCTCCCCTACTCCTTCTCCTTAGCATCTGTGATCTGTCAAGCTACTTTTGGCCATGGGTTTAGGGCTCCTCCAGAAAAGTGCTAGACTCATGTTCAGAAGCAGCCCAGGTAACAGGCACAGAGTATTTCTCAGCTGTGACTTGTTGGTTAGACAATTTGAGAGGTGACTTGACCAGTTACTTTATAAGCAACAATCTGCACTAGCCCAACCCCATTCCGCTATACATTAAGGAGACCAATTGCTATCAGAGATGAAACCGTGCAAGGGGGAAACAAAGAAAAGGGAATCCACCAATTATTTTACTGAATTGGCTTCCACATTAAAATAATTAATACAACTCAGCAAATTAATTACTGAAGCAGAATAGACCTTGTCAGTGAGGGCAGGGAAATTTATGCTGGCATGCTGTTTTGCTATCACATGCAATTGTAAAGTAGTTTAAAATGGCAGTCTGGTTATGTCCCCAAAACAATTGTAAGTGCTGCCCTCTGCTGATCAAAGCAACACACAAACAGGCTTTGAACCAAATCCCATTTTTCAGTCATTCTCTGAAACATCTGCAGATGACGTTCATGGCTGGCTTCCAACCAGCAAAGTCAATGGGGAAACCTGCAGGAGTTGTGAGTCTCAGTCATGTGATGTTCAGTCATGTGACATTGCACTTAATAACCCTGAGTGATTTGGTCAATCACTGCGGCTGATGTAAGTCAGCATGTTCATGTGGCATTTCGCTTTACGACTGCTTCACCTAGTGAAGCTGCTGTCCAAATTGCAGTTGGGAAATGAGGACTATCTTAAATTCCAACTTTACTTACCAAAGCACTGACTTAGTGACAAGCAATACGCTCCTGCTGGTAGGCATCTTTTGCAATTAATTACTTCATATGTCAGTGATCCTGCAAGGGTATTGGAGGATAGAGAAGGAAAGCGTGAGAAATTAACTTTTAAAATCGCCACACAAGGAATGACTAGCACAAGATAACCTACCTACTCTAACCCCAATTCATGCAACACATGCGAGCAGCTCAAGACAATAAATGGGCCCAGCCAGGCCCAAAGAAAATGAAACAAATTCAGCCAGGACTCTGAACTTGTGTTATAAAAGTAGCAAGGGTATTCACAGGATGTAGCCCAACGATCAAAAAGGCAGCTGCAATTGTGAGATTGAAGTTCTGGTTTGTTTGTTTTTTAATCTTTGAACAATTTTCCCCCTTTCTTTTAATATTTGATATACAGACAATATGCCAAGAGTGCTCATATTTTTTTCCTTTTGTATGTTTTGCTTAGTATTGTCTGTTATTTGTACATCTTTTTTTGTTTGTTTATGGTTTGGTTTGTTCTTAATTGGATTTTTTGGTATTTGGGCGTATTTTTCTTAAAAAAAGGTAATTAAATCATCCCCTCAATCCAGATGTTCTGTCCTGCAGAATATTCTCTGCAGCAACATTCCAATGAATAAATCCGGGCGGGAAAAAGATATAAGACAAAGTTTCAACATGTAATGAATCTGGGAGCCTTTCCAGATCAAGGTTGTAAGTTGTGACAGTTGCAATTTTATGACCTCTTTTGTGGCGGTCTAAAGCAAACACTGCAGTCATAAAACAAACTGCTGCTATGGTTCGTTATGGGCGTGATGCTAAAAACGAAAGTATGTGCTGGCTTTGGGAAAACTAAAAAAAATGTGGTCACGTGACCACGAAACACTGCAAACAGCAATAATGTGGCTATGTCGCCAAGCACCTGGAATTCCATCATTTGATCATGAAAGTGGCTCAACTGTTGGAACTTCAGAACTAACTTGTAAGTAGCCTCAGGGTATGTCTGTTATCACTTTGAATAGTCGCTAAGCAAGTGGTCATAAACTGAAGACTATTTGTACCTCTATAATTTAGTTCCCTTTCCCAAATGTGCCACCCTAGACCTTGGTCTGAATTGCCTCTCTTTATGGATATTTCTTTAGATTAAATCCTTGGCTAGACATAATATAAGAACATAAGGATGAGGACTTTGACAGATAAATAGAAGAGTAATTACCTAGGCAAAGGTGCTATATTTCTTTAAAAGAATCTTGAAAAATGAGATAACATTCAGAAGTGGTATCAGCAGATATGTCCATATTTCAATGAAGTATAAGGACAGACTTGCAAGTTTTTGTTATTGTAGTCAATCTCAATAAAAGTAGTTTTAATTTTCCTGAGGAGCTAGCAATAACAGTTGCACTTAGACTTATATACTGCTTCAGAGTGCTTTAAGCCCTCTCTAAGCAGTTTACAGAGTCAGCATATTGCCCCCAACAATCTGGGTCCTCATTTTATCAGCCTTGCAAGGATGGAAGGCTGAGTCAATGTTGAGTCGGTCAAGATTGAACAGCTGGCAGTCAGCAGTCTTAGCCTGCAGTATTGCATTCTAACCAGGGGTGGGATTCTACCAGTTTGCACCTATTCGCTAGAACCGGTTGTTAACATTCTAAGCAGTTCGGAGAACCGGTTGTTAGAAGAAATTACTGGCCTAATCCTGTAAGGAAGGCAGGAAGGAAACATTCTGGTGTTGCTTACAGAAACTGCCTCTCCGTTAACCCTTATTACATTCTTGGCAGGACTAGACTTCCTGTCTCAGGAATGTCTCTGGAGTTTTTTCCCCTCCTTTGCTGGTACTTTGCTTGTGTGGAGTGACCATTTAAAGTTACAATGGCACTGAAAAAAGTGACATGACCATTTTTCACACTTACGACTGTTGCAGCATCCCCACAGTCATGAGGCCAGGCGAGGAGATGCGTGCCTCGATGTGAGTGATATTGAGTTGGCCACACCCAGCCAATAACATGACCACCAAGCCATGTCCACCCAGTCACATGACTACCAAGCTACACCCACCATCTAAGCCACGCCCACAGAACTGGTTGTTAAAAAATTTGCATCCCACCCCTGATTCTAACCACTGCGTCACCACGGCTCTTGATTCCCTGGTCTACCTCATCTAATAGGGTGGACACCTAGATATCGCCTTGGGTCAATTCTCCACCTTGTTCAATCTTCTCCAACCTGGTATTTTCTTTTGTGACCATAACAAAAAATATTAACCATGTAGTCTGAGATTTCTAGAAGTTCCACATCTAAAGTTGGGAAAAGCTAATCTAGCTCATATGGATTGGCTCCCCCGCCTCCATTACCCTCCAGCAATTCTTTCTTCCTTTTGCTGTTCTGTTGTGGTTTGTCACTATTTGATCCACATGTGTTCAAGATAATTTCCTGCACACTTCTGTTTTTTTCCTTAATCCCCTAGGGGCCACCCCTGAGCTTCTCCCAAGCCACATCCTCTCCTCATTATTCAATCACGCAAGCTTTTATCTGGCAAATTCTTGTTCCACCCACCCACTTAAAACCAAGCAACTTACCACATATTTTTTCATCACAACCTACAAGGAAAGAGATTCCAAAAATGAATGCCCATGCCTCGAATCATACATCCTCTGTAGATTTTTCTTCACATCCAAATTGTTCCCACATTCCCTTCAGTTGAAGCATCAAATGTTACAGTTGTGCAGAACCAAATTATGAACCTTTTATAACTTTTCAATCTGTGTAACTATGAAAAATAGTTTGTACAGGTAGTCCTTGACCTACAACCATTCGTTTAGTAACTGTTCAAAGTTACAATGGCACTGAAAAAAGCTCACATGACAATTTTTTATGCTTACAACCCATTGCAGCATCCCCGTGGTCATGTGGTCAAAATTCAGATGCTTGGCAACTGGCATGTATTTATGACAGTTGCCGTATCCTGGGACCATGTGATCACCTTTTGCTTCTGCCTAGCAAAATAAATGGAGGAGCCAGATTCACTTAACAATCACGTTACTAACTTAACAACTGTAATTATTCACTTAACACCTGTGGCAAGAAAAGTCATAAAATGGCGCAAAACTCATTTAATAACTATCTTGCTTAACAACAGAAATGTTGGGCTGATTGTGGTCGTAAGTCAAGGACTACCTGTATGTTTGAAAACTTTCATTTAAATATTCCTATGTGCCCTTAAAGTTGTCCAGGAATTTTTTTTTCGGTGAGAATATTCAGATCGGCAACAGCCTCATAGAAGCTCTGAAAGGCACTGTCCAGGATAAATATTACAAACCGTTTTTTAAAAATATAATTAGGAATTATGTTCACTGCAATGTCTAGGGACAGTTTATTCCATATGTTAATGCTATATTGTGTCAATTTTTTTTCTATTTGAATGACAGAATAATAATGATTTATTAATTTTTTTATGCTGCCCAAGTCCCACCAATGCTGGGTGGTTTACAAATTAAAATAATATGAACAAATGTAGCCTCATTTATTAATTTCTACACATCGCCCATAATTTTAATAATTTAATTCATTTGGATACCAGTAATTAATGTTAATTTTAATTTATCTTGACAATACTTTACTGTCATTTTTAAAACTGTTTTAGCTATAAAAAGAATCAAACAAACTCTAGAACAATTAAAAAATACGTTTTTCAGTACCTATATTCTTTCCTTCCATTAGCCCTGTTCTAGTCATTTTAGTTTCTAAAACTTGATTTTATATATATTTATATATATATGTGTGTGTGTGTGTGTGTGTGTGTGTGTGTATGTATATGTATATGTATATATGTATGTATGGTATTCAGCTTTGTTCGGGTATTTTCCCACGTCATTATAGTTGTGCTTTTAAAGTTGTAGCAACGTTTCGGCAGAATCTCATCATA